TATCAAATGACTGGACAGCAAACTAATGAGTTTGATCAGTGAACACCTGGCCAGCACTAAAGCAGTACAAATAAATTTCTAGCTCTCAATACTGTTTTTAAAAAAACCAACCCCTCTCCCCCATTCTTGTCTGTTTTCTCCTACCTCCTGCCTGCACTTACACATCAGCTTATTTTTTACTCTTAAGACGCACTGTCAGAAATACACACTAAGTTTTTATAATCCTTGTCGATCATACTCAGATGATATTTGTTTACAAACATGGACGAGTATGTTTGCATTGACGCAACAGTGGCCTAGTGTCATTGTCGTCCATGCTGAATTAGCTCGAGGGCAGACATCAGCCACGAAGGAGCAGTGATCCCTGACTCTTGCCCAATCAACCGTTCTGATTCGTCATTCTACTGCAGACCATGCCATCCAATAAAGTTGCCTAAAGTAATTGTATATTTTGCCGATAGTTGTACTTGTTGTACCCGGCATCCAATCAGATGAGTCTATTAAAATCGACCAATAAGTGAGCTCAATAAGTAACGACCAATTATTAAGTACAAGAATTTTAACCTAGCAAAAGCCATCAAAGAATATTGAAAAGCACGTTTTGGATCTTTTGGATCTTTTGGATCTTTTGATTTTCGATTCTTGAGTTGAAAGCGTGCAATTTTGACTGCCGGCAGTGCTGTGAGGTTTTTATCAAGTGAAATATACATTTTTTAAAAAATGAGTGATGGCATTCTAAAATAGAGAAACGTTAGGAGGACAGTAAATGATTTATAACAGCTACCCTCATTACCAATGTTTGTCCTTTAATTTCAGGATTAATTCATATTGTGACATTTTGAAGCTTCACAAACATTTTTCAATGTGGACGGGAAGGATGTACCAGGTGATTTTAATAGTGTAGCTGCCAATGTGACTATTGGAACTGAACAAGATTTAAACAATGGTGATCATGTGCCAGTAGTAACAAAATCAGGCAAACAAAAAGCTCATCACGTGCAACGTTGTGCTGCGCCTAACTGCGGCAACAACCGTTTTCAGAACCCTGACAAATCATTCTTTAGATTCCCTTTAGATGAAGAACTATGTCGTCGATGGGTTGTGAATCTTAGAAGAAAAGACGATATCATTAAAAAGACATCAACGCAACTCTACAAAGGAAGTGTTTTGTGCTCTGACCATTTTGAATCATCTCAATTTGCATCTAAAAAGCGAAATAGAATTACGCGAAAAACAGCTGTGCCAACTATTTTTGATGTCCCCAATCCACCTAGGCATCTTGAATCATCAACAAAACGCACACCAAAGGAAAGAATTCCACCGTCAACTTTAGTTAGAGCCACAAGAAACACAAGTGCTCCTGAAACTCCAGACGCTTCCCATGGTGTTGATGCTTCAGATGAGGATTCCATTGACAAAAAAACTCACTTAAAAAGAAAACTTGAAGCTCAAAGAAAACGTGTACAACGTCTTAGAAATGGCCTATGTTTAAGCTCTCTGCTGAAAAGGAAATTTATTTAATCGAAAAGATGTCTCGCAAATCTGTGTATGGAGTCATCATGACTTGTTTTGTAAGCAGTTAGACCTTTCCAGAGTAAAAGTAGGTAATCTTTGGTCTGCCAAAGATGAAAGTTATGCTCTGTTTTTGTACCATGCCACACCGAAGGCGTATAAACTTCGACAAAAACATTTTTTTCTTCCAAGTGTTTCCACTGTGTGGAGATTATGAAGAATATTAAAATTCATCCTGGGTTCCCTGACAAGGTAGTGAAGGCATTCAAAATGAAGGTTGACATTATGGATGAAACCGAGAAACAATGTGTACTCGTCTTTGATGAGATGTCCCTAAAGAAAACACTGACCTACTATGCAGAGAAGGACTACATTGAGGGTCTTGAGGACTTTGGGGGATTTCTTGAAGCAAGGAAGTCGCCAGCTGACTATGCTCTTGTTTTTATGGCTCAGGGTCTCATCCACAAATGGAAGCAGCCATTTGGTTATGTTAACACAAATTCAACCATCGGACCAGATACACTAAAAATTATTGTTTTTGCGACAATTTATTCAGCAAAACTCTGCTGGCAAGTGAAGGAAGAAATTGTGAAGAAAATCTGGATTCCTTTTTGCTGAATTTAGTAAAATCAAAAGGCGAGTCATTGGAACTAGCTTCATCTTCAACATCTTTCCCGTCTGCTGTTTCAGCAAATAAGGCATTACAAATTATTGTAAATCTTGTAAAATTGTGTAAGATGGAGGAAATGATTCAAATTTATTTGTCCTGCTTGCATCGAGCTTCTAGAGAATGATTGTTGCACAAAGATGAGACATCACCTTTTGATCAATGCAAAACAGTATGAAAACTGTTCACATGGAGGGTTGAAAGTAGCCAGTTTTCTCCTCACAGAGTGTGTTGGTCTGTGTGAAATGATTTTCCAGACCTTTTTCAGCACCTTTATAAAAAAAATAAATTTGGCTGGCTCTTAAAATTAAGATGTTGGAACAATTTCAGAAGTCAGATAAAGTGCTGAAAAGCTCCACTTTCCATTGTTCGACTGAAGAATGCATCATCAACATCTTCTTGACTGCTTGCATTCACCATGAGTTGAATCTTTGAAATCAAGAGTTCATGGTTCCAGCAGTGAAAAAACACAAACTCATGAACGTTCAACACCAGTAGCTTTCAAGTAGCCTAAGTGATTAACTTGCCACACTTAAAATCATTTAATAAATGTCATTGATTTTGTTTGTTGATGTTTAGTTTTCTTTCTTCCTGCTCATCCATAGCTCCTCCCCCTGAAGCCTTTTTCCTTTTTTATTCCTTCTGTTCTTTTTTTATCTTTAAACAATCTCAGCAATTCTCATTCCATAAATTTAGCCTGTACCATTCTGTACCTCCTTTTCTCCTCCCTAAAGTGGTCTCATACACACATACCGCACACACACACTCTCAACGATGACACCAACCTCGCTTCGCCAAGTGACGTAGCCCGTCAGGCGTTAAGCGGCAAAGTGGGTCCATCACGGCGTGGGACAAAAGCCCACAGAAGAAATGCAATATCTTGGTAGTAGTAGTAGTAGTAGTAGTAGTAGTAGTAGTAGGGCTTATAGAGATTGCCTCGGAAGGACTTCCGTAACGATCGACTACCCCAACAAAACTATATATAAGCCTTATTTATTGTATAGCACTTTAACTGTAGAGTAGGATATGATAGTGCTTGTATAGTATGAGTGTATGCCCTTTATATTATTTACGAATATAATATACTTTGTAGTTATTATGTCATCAATACTATACTATACTACAGTCAAAATTGTCTAAGACGGCCACCCATTGTCGAAGAGAATTAAAGTGGTTATCAGACAGGTGGACGTCTTGGACATGCCAGTATAATATACCCCCCACCAGGGCTGTGCGACTAACTAAAGTTGTCTTTAGGCCATTCCGAAAGGGGGGGATATAACACGTTCTTATGCACGGTAGAATTGTAAGTGCGCTGATTTATCAATGTCATGCTCTCACTGTGCCGGAACAACATGGGGGAACTGCTGCCTTTTCTTTCGTCATCCTTACTATCATCATTTTCCTCTACTTCTTTTGCATGTTTGTCACTCCCTTGTGAACTGCTATTTTCGCGGGTACCTGGATAGTCAAAGCAGACTTTGTGCTGTTGAGGCAAGAGAGGTGAGCAGAGTAAACGTAATTCCGTGTGGACTTCTCTCTTGACATCCACCTCTTGGCGCTCATATGACCATATGCAGTTGCAGGCGCCATAAAACCTCACTAAAACTAACAATATAATGTGGAAACCCAAGGGGGGAATGTGGTCATTTACGAGTGATTGTTTTGGGGAAGTGCTAATAATGACCTTTAGAATAGGTTTGACTGTATTTTACTTAATTTTACTGAACCCTTTTCTCATTCTTTTGCACTTCTTATTATTCGGACTCTTACTTATGACAAGACTATAGTAGGAGGCCTTTAATAGTAGGCTACAGCCTATACTGTAGTATAGCCTAGTTACTTATTACATTGATGCTGGTGTCAGAGAGACTCGGTGTTCGCTGTCCCTGAGCATTTTTTGTTGAAAAATAACAATTGTCGTATTCCTTGCCAGTCAGAAGATGAGAGCAATTTTCCAGATTAGGACGTTTTGTTCAGACCGGACCAGGTGGATTCAGTCATAAAGTAAGATTCAACCCTCAGATTTCCTGGATACCCATTGTAAATGTTTTCTGTAATTTTATACCCTTCTTGCGGTCTTTTCATTGGAGCGCTGTGCCAGAAACAGTCATCCTTGGTTTTTTTAATTTTCAGACTTTTATGTTATTTCTATCCTGTGTGACTACAGTCAACTTCATAGGGGCATCACATGTTTTGCTCAATAAAACCTCTTCTGGAAGTGTTTCTGTGGTTCAATTACATGATCAGAATAGTCGGGCAGAGTAAAAAATGTTGTTCCCGCATCCGATCCGGACATTGGGGATTGCCTTGTTAGTGAGGAGACAACTTCCTGGGCCTTCGGCATATTGTGGTAGGGTGTCAGGCAGGATAGTGAATTAAAATTTGAAAATAAATCACCCTAAGAGTTGAGACGTTTCTAGTGAATTTTTTTACACAATTAAAGAGAATAGAATTTAGGATGACAATAATTGTCGATGAAATATGAGGGCTGAATCTAACTTTATTTATATTCTAGTCTGAAAAATTGCCAGAAAATGCCCTCAGTTGTTTGTGTATTTATGGATATCAAACATATTACGTTTTTTTTCTCTAAGTGTCATCTTAGTTCTCAAATTTTGTAAGGCTACTTCTAGAGTGTTCCTTGCTAGAAAATGTACTGTTCAGGCTGGTGGTAGTTGGGCTTTTCTTTCTAATTTTAGAGGATCTGGGATGAGTTTTTTAATACTCAGAAGGATGTGTATAAAAACATTTACTTTTGGATGTTGGTGGTTTGAATGCCATCAAAGCAAACTTCTTTAAAATTTATGATTCATTTCAGATTACTTTTCAAATGAGGATGTGCGCATGTTACTTGCCAGTGTGAAGATCTCGCATCAGTGAGGATGGTTCGAGTGTTCAAGTGTCACAGCTTTGCCTCCCAGTGTGTGGTTCCCATAGAGAAGGAACCACTGGCCATCTATGCAGAGGGGGACAAAGTGTTTGTGGCCACCAGTGACTGCGAAATTATCGTTTTTCAAGTGAGAGATGGATCCTCGACAGAGATACAGAGATGTGTGACAATATCTCCAGTAGATCACTTGATCTACAATAACTTTAGTAAGTCTATATCAATAGAACTCTGGTTACATTGCTCGTGGTTAATTCAAGGGGTTGAAATAGGGTTGCTAACATGTATGGTCTATCTGAAGATGCAGATGTTCAGGTTTCTAATCGGTGACAGGTTCTCATTCTGCAGATAAACATTCTTTACTCTGTGTGTGTTAAAGAATTAACATCTTGTTCTAAGCTCAGTTTGTGTTCCTATGCAAAATTGATATCTCTTTATGTTTGTGATCATATTAAATCGACATAGTCTCTCTCTATACTCAGTGTGTGGTACACACCATGTACAAGTTGCTCTATATTCACAGAATGCACTTCTTTATATGATGAACATTTCTCTCTAGACACAATGAAATTTCTCTCTAGACTCTGTGTTCAGTTTATGATGTTCAAAATGAAGATCTGGCCCTCTCTATAATCAGTGTGTGATGTACATAAGACAGATCTTTTTGAATCTATTTCTCACTGTCTCTGCTGGCTCCTCTATTATGAAACTTATTTCAAGCGTTAGAATGCCCGTGGTGCCCGTGGTGGCTTAGAACACAGTTTGAGAAAACTCTGTCAAACCATATCAATCACTGGTTCATTTATAACTGCTTGGTGAGACACAATTTTTTCAGCTCACAATGGGAATAAATCTTCATAAGAAGAAACAGTTTACAAAGATAACAAGAGAAGACAGAAAATTAAATATTTAGAGAAACACATTCAGTTTGTGTGCCACCAGTCTGGTATAGAGTTTGAAGTGTTGAAAGCGTAATGAATGTGTGAGACTGAGTCAGCTGTTAAATACTGTGCTGGTGATGGGATAATTTTTATTGCTGTCTCATTATTGTATTTTAATGTGTGTCAAATAATGGTTTTGTTCAAATGTTTATTATGTTTGGATTTACTTGGATCCAGAGCTAGAATCATAGCAGGCGGCACATGTCCATAGCTGCTCATCTCTCCTTTCCAGCGTCCACCTCAGGGTGTTGTTCAAATGTTTATATTTCAGGAAATTACATAGCTACAGTGGAGTTGAAAAAGTCGTGGAAGCGAGTGACGAGATCGGTGCGTGTTTATCTCAATTGGGACAACATTGTTGCCGGTGAATCAAAAGCACGGACCAAGGTGCGCATTGCTGGGCGCTCTCACGTCCAGCACATGTCTAGTGCTGGTGCCTCGAGCCTCTTGGAGATTGTTGAAGTACCTGTGGATGGCAATGCTACTTGTGTGGCTGTATGCAGGTATTGGGGTTGTTACTTAAGCTTTCATAACTTGTAACTCCACAGCACGTCTAATATTGTTTGCTTTGTGGGTACAAACAGTATTCAGAGAGAATGGGGGAATGCCTGGGCGATAAGGCTCTTTATGGGGGTTGGCGGGTGCTCTGGTGTGGTTTGGTCTTTCATTTCTATCAAACATCTAACGTTCTAATCTCTCCTCCTTCTTTTATGTGTTTGTTACTTTCTTGTAAAACCTCTAATCTTTGGCATGTTTATGACCTTTTATGTTGAAAGTGCTGTAGAACTCTTTGTTTTATTTTTTTCCATCTTGTTAGTAGGTTGTAAGCGAAAAGTGACAACTAATTTAAAGAAGGGTTCTGTCTAAATCCCCATGTATTATTTATGACAAATATTTTGCAAAATGTTCGAGTTCATCACATTGAACTATACCACAAGGGCCAGCTGCTCTGACTAGTATTTGTGCTTTCATTGTTGGCCTTTTTTGCCGTTATAAGTGGAAGTCTGTTTTATCGAGTATCTTTGTTTTTTCACTGGGTACTATATTCCTTCAGCCAGGATGGGCTCTGAAAAAGAAAATCTATCTACTAAAGGATGGAGGTGTAGAATATTTACAAAACCTATGATTACATTTATTCCGAGACACCAGTATGCTTTGGTGAAATAACTCAAAGTAGTAGAGTAATTTATCTCAATGAACGGGGTCATGTGGGGAAAAAAATGCCTCTCAATAGAGAAGTACCCTTAGGTATAATGATTTATCTTAATGCACGAGTACATCTGGGTGGAGTTATGTGTCTCTATAAAATGTAGTAAGGCCAACATCTGGGTTGAGTATTGTATCATTATATGTAGGTACATATGGGTAGAGAGTCCTGGAACTTTGATTTAATTTCCCAGGTACACAGGCAACTTTGCTGTGGCCTGTGGCTCTGAGGTGAAACTATGCAGTGTGGTGGAGAAGACTGTTGGTACCTCAGACAAGACTTACCTGGATGTGGAGGTATGATGATGATAATCAATAATTGGTTGCTTTTAAGGACAAGCGGGCTAACCCAGATTTCGGGGGTTTCCAGAAATCTTGACCTACACCTAAAGTGGGCATTGCCCTATCTATAGGAGAAGTTTGGTTTCTTTGGTGTGTATATTTGTTTGGTTACAGAGAAAACTCTCCTTGTCTTTTAAAAGAAACTGAACAAGGGGCAAAAACTTTACCTTAGATTTTCTCAAAACAGCATTTTTCGGGATAGCCCTCTTGTGCCTAAAAGCGACCAATTAATTGCATTTATCTGGCGCTTATAATAATGATACATTAACAACACTAATAATAATAATAATCTCCATCATGGTGACACTAAAACAACACTCATGCTAGATCTACTCATCATTTTTGAAAATTTTTCTCCTTAATTGTTGTAAACAAACTGATTTCCGTCATCAAAGGCCACACTATTCATTCAGGAAAGAAGTTGTAACTTTTATAAGTGTGCATGTCTAAAAGGAGATAATTCCTTTGTTTTTGTTACAATATTACACTGAAGCCGATCAGCATCCCATGGGAGTAAAAAGACGGCTCCTTACTGTCGCTGATTGGCGTCCCGTTTGGGGGGGGGGGGGGGGGGGTGGTGTGTGTTAATTTTTGACAACCAAGTCACTTTTTGTGTCATTTTGTGTTTGCTGTAAATGTGCTTCATGTGGGTTTTTTTTGTTTTGTTTTTCACTGTGTGTTGTAAACCTGTATTATGTGTGTCATTCTGATAGGTCACTTGTTTTATTCTGTGTATGTATTAAGCATATATCCTGTGTGTTGTTTTATGTGTGTTGTAAGTATCCGTCATCTGTGTTGTTAGTCATATCATGTGTCTTTTAGTCATGTCTTGTGTCTTTTAGTCATGTCATGTGTGTTGCTTTGTGTGTCTATTGTGTTGTAAGTAGAACAAGTCATATTTGTTGTTCTGGGTGCAGGTGTGTGGATGACTGGCGGGTGCTGTGGTGTGGTGTGCTCCTTCTCTCCTCTCAAACATCTATCTCCTCATCTCCCCTTTTTTTTCATGTTTGTTTAATATCTTGTAACACCTCTGATCTTTGGCACTCATATGACCTTATTGTGTTGCAAATGCTGTAAAACTATTCTAACTAGACTAAAACAAACAAAATGATGTAGGTGTTCCTGGAGCTATGCTGGAGCTTCCCTGTGCTGTCTATCTCTCTGTGCGAGGAGTTTGTCGTCTGCTGCTCCCACAAAGAGGTGCATGGAATACGAGTCAGGTAAAGAGTGCTCACACTTTTTAGAAAAATTATTAAAGTATCCTTTGCCAATTCCCATGCAAATGACAGCATTTAATTTGATTAGAACGATGAAGTGAGCTTAATTTACTCCTAAAGTTTTTATTTTTTAAAAATATTTTTTTTTTAGTGTGCACCTTTAGGTTATAGAGTATAGAGTGGTAACACTGAAACTATCTAATATAAAGGACACTTTACAATTTTTACCTCAGCTGGAAAGTGGATAGTTTAGTCTTTTTTATGCTATTGCATAAAAGTATAATGAAACCTACAGATGGTTGTTGCGTAAATAGTAAACTTTATTTTCCTCAGCTGGGAAGTGAATAGTTTTATCCTTTTTTTCTACTGCATAGCAAATAATGTGACCTTGTGATGGTTGTGACTATTATCAGTATTAGGAGCAGTGCGTTTGTTTTTACTCTTTTAAGATATTTCCACTTTGATATCTCAGTCTTGAGTTAACAGATTTTCAATAAATGTTTTCACTGAATTGCTATGGTGGGGACTGGACAGTTCGTGGTTGGATTGTGCCATTGGTAGATCCTGTGGTTACCTCTATTGATTCTGTTCGACTGTCTTTTTTTCCCCCTGGACTAAAGGAATATTAGCATATTGACATGCTTCTGTTTTAAACAATACAAATTAAAAAGGTTGTGGAAAACCCAGTGAACTGGTTGCAGAGTAGTGGTAAGGCATTTTCAATGGGCGCTATCGGTTGTCGATTATGCGAGTATCAGTTAAATTACCAAGCATGCAGGTTGTGTGCTGGTACAGCATGAGATTTCCTGTATTGGTGCCTGAGTTGGGTGTTGAGCTGAGAGCTGAGAAACTGGATGTGTACTTGCATGCACACGCAAACACAGCAGGTATTGGGGTTGTTACTTACGCTTTCATAACTTGTAACTCCACAGCACGTCTAATATTGTTTGCTTTGTGGGTACAAACAGTATTCAGAGAGAATGGGGGAATGCCTGGGCGATAAGGCTCTTTATGGGGGTTGGCGGGTGCTCTGGTGTGGTTTGGTCTTTCCTTTCTATCAAACATCTAACGTTGTAATCTCTCCTCCTTCTTTTATGTGTTTGTTACTTTCTTGTAAAACCTCTAATCTTTGGCATGTTTATGACCTTTTATGTTGAAAGTGCTGTAGAACTCTTTGTTTTATTTTTTTCCATCTTGTTAGTAGGTTGTAAGCGAAAAGTGACAACTAATTTAAAGAAGGGTTCTGTCTAAATCCCCATATATTATTTATGACAAATATTTTGCAAAATGTTCGAGTTCATCACATTGAACTATACCACAAGGGCCAGCTGCTCTGACTAGTATTTGTGCTTTCATTGTTGGCCTTTTTTGCCATTATAAGTGGAAGTCTGTTTTATCGAGTATCTTTGTTTTTTCACTGGGTACTATATTCCTTCAGCCAGGATGGGCTCTGAAAAAGAAAATCTATCTACTAAAGGATGGAGGTGTAGAATATTTACAAAACCTATGATTACATTTATTCCGAGACGCCAGTATGCTTTGGTGAAATAACTCAAAGTAGTAGAGTAATTTATCTCAATGAGCGGGGTCATGTGGGGAAAAAAATGCCTCTCAATAGAGAAGTACCCTTAGGTATAATGATTTATCTTAATGCACGAGTACATCTGGGTGGAGTTATGTGTCTCTATAAAATGTAGTAAGGCCAACATCTGGGTTGAGTATTGTATCATTATATGTAGGTACATATGGGTAGAGAGTCCTGGAACTTTGATTTAATTTCCCAGGTACACAGGCAACTTTGCTGTGGCCTGTGGCTCTGAGGTGAAACTATGCAGTGTGGTGGAGAAGACTGTTGGTACCTCAGACAAGACTTACCTGGATGTGGAGGTATGATGATGATAATCAATAATTGGTTGCTTTTAAGGACAAGCGAGCTAACCCAGATTTCGGGGGTTTCCAGAAACCTTGACCTACACCTAAAGTGGGCATTGCCCTATCTATAGGAGAAGTTTGGTTTCTTTGGTGTGTATATTTGTTTGGTTACAGAGAAAACTCTCCTTGTCTTTTAAAAGAAACTGAACAAGGGGCAAAAACTTTACCTTAGATTTTCTCAAAACAGCATTTTTCGGGATAGCCCTCTTGTGCCTAAAAGCGACCAATTAATTGCATTTATCTGGCGCTTATAATAATGATACATTAACAACACTAATAATAATAATAATCTCCATCATGGTGACACTAAAACAACACTCATGCTAGATCTATTTATCATTTTTGAAAATTTTTCTCCTTAATTGTTGTAAACAATCTGATTTCCGTCATCAAAGGCCACACTATTCATTCAGGAAAGAAGTTGTAACTTTTATAAGTGTGCATGTCTAAAAGGAGATAATTCTTTCGTTTTTGTTACAATATTACACTGGAGCCGATCAGCATCCCATGGGAGTAAAAAGACGGCTCCGTACTGTGGCCGATTGGCGTCCCGTTTGGGGGGGGGGGGGGGGGGGTGGTGTGTGTTAATTTTTGACAACCAAGTCACTTTTTGTGTCATTTTGTGTTTGCTGTAAATGTGCTTCATGTGGGGGTTTTTTTTGTTTTTTTTTCGCTGTGTGTTGTAAACCTGTATTATGTGTGTCATTCTGATAGGTCACTTGTTTTATTCTGTGTATGTATTAAGCATATATCCTGTGTGTTGTTTTATGTGTGTTGTAAGTATCCGTCATCTGTGTTGTTAGTCATATCATGTGTCTTTTAGTCATGTCTTGTGTCTTTTAGTCATGTCATGTGTGTTGCTTTGTGTGTCTATTGTGTTGTAAGTAGAACAAGTCATATTTGTTGTTCTGGGTGCAGGTGTGTGGATGACTGGCGGGTGCTGTGGTGTGGTGTGCTCCTTCTCTCCTCTCAAACATCTATCTCCTCATCTCCCCTTTTTTTTCATGTTTGTTTAATATCTTGTAACACCTCTGATCTTTGGCACTCATATGACCTTATTGTGTTGCAAATGCTGTAAAACTATTCTAACTAGACTAAAACAAACAAAATGATGTAGGTGTTCCTGGAGCTATGCTGGAGCTTCCCTGTGCTGTCTATCTCTCTGTGCGAGGAGTTTGTCGTCTGCTGCTCCCACAAAGAGGTGCATGGAATACGAGTCAGGTAAAGAATGCTCACACTTTTTAGAAAAATTATTGAAGTATCCTTTGCCAATTCCTATGCAAATGACAGCATTTAATTTGATTAGAACGATGAAGTGAGCTTAATTTACTCCTAAAGTTTTTTTGTTTTTTTTAAAATTTTTTTTTAGTGTGCACCTTTAGGTTATAGAGTATAGAGTGGTAACACTGAAACTATCTAATATAAAGGACACTTTACAATTTTTACCTCAGCTGGAAAGTGGATAGTTTAGTCTTTTTTATGCTATTGCATATAAGTATAATGAAACCTACAGATGGTTGTTGCGTAAATAGTAAACTTTATTTTCCTCAGCTGGGAAGTGAATAGTTTTATCCTTTTTTTCTACTGCATAGCAAATAATGTGACCTTGTGATGGTTGTGACTATTATCAGTATTAGGAGCAGTGCGTTTGTTTTTACTCTTTTAAGATATTTCCACTTTGATATCTCAGTCTTGAGTTAACAGATTTTCAATAAATGTTTTCACTGAATTGCTATGGTGGGGACTGGACAGTTCGTGGTTGGATTGTGCCATTGGTAGATCCTGTGGTTACCTCTATTGATTCTGTTCGACTGTCTTTTTTTCCCCCTGGACTAAAGGAATATTAGCATATTGACATGCTTCTGTTTTAAACAATACAAATTAAAAAGGTTGTGGAAAACCCAGTGAACTGGTTGCAGAGTAGTGGTAAGGCATTTTCAATGGGCGCTATCGGTTGTCGATTATGCGAGTATCAGTTAAATTACCAAGCATGCAGGTTGTGTGCTGGTACAGCATGAGATTTCCTGTATTGGTGCCTGAGTTGGGTGTTGAGCTGAGAGCTGAGAAACTGGACGCACACACACACACACACACACACACACACACACACACACACACACACACACACACACACACACACACACACACACACACACACACACACATACACACACACACACACACACACACATTAAACCCCCCCCCCAAAAAAAAAAAAACCCAAAACAGACCCCCCAAGCCCCCCCCCCCAAAAACCCCCCAAAAAACAACAAAACCAAACAAAAACCCCCCATTAAACCATATGGACACACACCTATGCACAAATATTTCGACGATTTACGTAAACATTTTGTCTGTTTGTTGCCCGTCTAGGTATGATGAAGGTGACATTGCATCTGCAAAATCCATGAAAAGAAAACTGACTTCCCCGGCCACTTCCATGGGCTCTGCTACTGTGGGAGACCCAGGGGGATTGAACAGCGAGTCCCAAGACAGCACAATCAGCACGCCAGTGTGTGGCTCTCCTTCATCCAACATCAGCGAGACCATCCTGTTCTCTGAGCAGGCCAGAGGGCGCTCCTTAACGTTTGCTCTAGACAGGGACAAAAAGACGTACGAGTGCTTGCTGAGAGATGGGAGCTACAATGGGCGTGCAGACTCTGCTGGTGCTGGAAAGGATTTCTCCTCTGGTAAGTGTGTCATGTGTCATAGTTTATCGTCACGTGTGTCATAGGTGTGTTGTAGATAGTGTGTTATGTCTTATATGTTATGTAGGTCGTGTGGCCTGTATCATGTGTGTTGTTAAATAGTATGTCGTGTTTTATGTGTGTCATATCTATATGTGTATTGTATTTGGTATTGCCTGTATGTGTGTCGTAAAAAGTTTCTCATGTCTATATGTGTGTCATTTCTTTGGTATCTTGAAAGAAGAAGACAAACATATTCTAAAATGCACCTGAGACGTGGTTGATAGTCATTTCACCTTGCAGTCAAAGAATGTGAGCTTAATTTTGTTGTGGGAGAGAAATTCGAACAAATACCAAATTCTTTCTGTAAAGATGATGTATCTCATTGGCTTGGGTTGGCCTTAATAGGTTCAGTCAAAGAAGCCCGTCTCCTAAAGTTGCAACTGGTAAATCAAATTGTTTTCCTTTCACTTTGTTGTTTCTCTCTGTCAGACTTTCTCTTTCCTTTCCCCGAATGACCATTATTATATCTGTGTGTTTCTCTTTACTCAGGTAAATTACCCTCACCACCAATCAAACAAAACTGCCTCCTAAGTTGCGACTTATATGACCTTATTGTGTTGCTAGTGCAGTAAACCTCTTACTAAAACTAAAACTTAACAGTTTTTTTTCTGATCACTGACTGAATGACTATTATTATATCGATGTTTTTCTCTTTATTCAAACAAATCACCCTCGCTACCAAAGAAACCTACCTTTTAAGTTGTGACTGATGGGTCCAATTTTTTTCTTTCCCTCTGTTGTATCTATCCTTCAGTCTTTCTCTTTCACTTCACCGAATGACCATTATTATATTAATATGTTTCTCTTTACTCAAACAAATTACCCTCACCACCAGTTGGTGTTCGAGGAAGCCAGAAAACCAGTCCCAGATCATCCGTTGTATTTGGCTGTGGGGGAGCTGAGACCAGAGTGGTGGATGATGAAAATTTTGTGGAGTGGAACTTTGAGCCGGGGGTCAGTGAGGCCGGGGGCAGCTCTGTATGTCTGCCAGGTCTACACACCAACACAACACAGTCCCAGTGTCACAAACATGCCAGCCTCATCAGCCCGCCTGTGCTCTCTGATTTCTCTGGTCAGTCTTTTGGCGACATAATTCCTGCATACATTATATTTCCTTGATTAGTTTTTCGGCGACATAATTCGTGTACATGTTAGGTTTCTCTGGCCAATCTTTTTTTTTCATGCAACTTTAGTACCCAGATCAAATTTGTCTCTTCAACCTTCTGAATCTTCAGGTGAAAAAGTCTGTGATTGCACATGGGAGAGTTGATAATTTCTCTTTTGTACATTTACAAGGTGACAGAGTTAAGTATGTACTCATTTAAAGTGGGAATGTACATGGTTGTAGTAAGAATGTCAATTGCATACAAGGTTGAGATAAAAATGCCAAATGTACTTGTTTGACGTAGTAATGTCATGTATGTACATATTTATGTTTAAGCTAAGAGAGTAGTGTGTATATGTTCTGTGCTAAGAAAGTTGAAGTATGAACATGTGTGAGGTGAGAATGTCAAGTGTGTACATGTTTGAGCTTAGAAGGTCGAGATTGTACATATTTGAGGTGCGATAGTCAATAGATATATATATTCAAGGTTTGAGAGTCAACAAGTGTGTGAGTGTTTAAGGTGATAAACCTGACAGGTGTGTGCTTATTTCAGGTGGCAAAGTGAAGTCCAGTACGGGGGTCCAGGCAGAGACGGTGTTGCACTTGAGCGACAGCCGAGAGACGGAAGATTGGATGAGTGTGACCCTTGTGCCTTCTCACAGTGCAGGTGAGTGTTTGATGTTGATGGAAGGGAAAGGGGAACTTTGATGTTGTACACCGGTCAATAGCTACACACAGACTGCACTCAAATGGTGGCGACAGTGGTCTAGTGTCGGCCTCTTAAATGAAAGGTCATGGGTTCGAATTCCTTCTTGTTTGTGTTTGTCACTCTCTTGTAACACCTCTTATCTCCTGCACTTATAATTATTACCTTTTTTTTTCTTGCAAGGCCTGTAAAAACGATTACCAAAACTAAAACAAAGACTCGGTCCAAGCATTCTATATCTATCAGTTCGTATGTATGAACTTGACTCTAGTGTTGCTGCGTAATTGTCAGTTTCTAATGATAGACTCCAATGTCACTTTGTCTGTCCCCAGTTCCCTCTCCTATCCTGCGAGTTGACACCATCAGTAGTGACCGCATGAGGTCCAACCATGGCCTGGGCCGCACCAGCATGTGCTGTTACGTCAGTGGCAACAGGGGAGGCTACCTGTACCAGTTGTCGCCTGTGCTCACCCGCGTGTCGGTCTACAAGTACACAGATGCTGCCTCACAGGTGGGTGGTGTGTGTTTTAAAAGGGGGGGGGGGGAGTGAAGGGGAGGTGTGGGAAGGTGAAGAAGAATGTCTCTACTCAAAAGGAAAAGAGAGAAGATGCGGTTTTGTATAGGTGAATGTCTTAGTTTGACAGGTGGCTGTTATTAGAGCAGGTTCCACTGTAATTATAAGAAGTAAAATCCACTTTGCAGCTTTTGGTGGAGATAGTGTGGAACTTTTGGTTTCACTGATCTTGAGTTTCCGTGTCTGGCACTTGTTATTCACTTGTCATTTCAGACTCCCTGATTTGAATCTCAGACTGAGCGTTTTTGTACTCGGGTTGCATTCAGAAATTTTCAAGGCTCTCAACTCATTTGGCTCAGTCTGATTAGAGACAGACATTGACTATGGAGGTCCCACCTCTCAAATAAGCAAATAGTGTCGATAGAGGCATTAAACCGATACAGTTACACTTAGAATAAGGTAGAACAGTTTTTGCAATGGTTTTGTTTTTTGTTTTTTTTTGGTCATAGATTGGCATAGGACAAAGCTATCTGTACGCAGTGACGAGCACGGGGATTGAGACGTACACGTCGCGCTGGGGAGCTGTGGCCTTGGAGATGCTGGAGAGGACAGAGAAGGAAATGCAGCAGGAGAATGTAAGTGTAGTTTCCTGATATGTGTTGTAGAATGTAAGTGTTGTTGCCTGATGTGTGTTGTGCTCTCTGGGATAGATTTCCTCACTGATGGGGGGGCTTGTCTTTAAGTGTTCTGTTCATATTAAGTGCCATGATAGCTGATGGTAAATGTGTTAAGCGCTTCAAGTAGTCTGACTTCAAGGTGATGTCATATAGAAGGGCATCAAAGCTTATTTTACTGATGAGATTGTGAAAATTTGTTTGGTTCATATTGGCGGTCATGATAGCTGATGGTAATGTGTCAAGTGTTTGGGGTTTTTTTTTAAAGTTGACAACCTTTTAAGTGATGTGTCATTTTGACAGGTATTAAGGCTAATAGTGATGTGTCATATAGGCTGACATCAAAGCTAATGGTCATATGTCGACTATTTTGTTTTTCTGACTGCCCCTCAGCGTCTGTATAAGAGTTTTTAGTGTCATGGTTAGGCTGTTTGCCTTTCACACAAAAGATGGTAGTTTTATCCACGTATGACAGTACTTATTTACAGAGTATCTGCCTCGTTCTGCAGTGATAGTGTATCTTTCTCAATTTGGTTGACCCTGACAGACAATATCAAAGTAGCCAACTATCATAAAGCAAGATGAACAAGCCGTACTAAAAGGCCTGGCATTATTAAACAAAAAAGCTTACTACTCATTCGAGGGGCAGACAGTGACTGACAATAAGACTCAAGTGAATGGATACTGGACAAGCACAGCTACTGAGCGACACTCACTAATGTCTTGACAAACGAGACAAAAAAATGAACAGAGACACAAGAGAAATATCACCACGCCGTCTTCAAAATGGATTTGTTTTCATCATCATCAAGTGCCAGATCTGCGGCAGACATCGGCAATCATGGTTCTCCATTCATTCCTTTGCTCGGATGCTCGTAAAAAAGCCACGTTACCCTGAGCTTCCCCTGTTACCCATCTGTTTAGCTTAAAGTATTCGTGACAGCCACAGTGTCTGTGTGTGAGTGGTTGGCAGGTGCTCTGGTGTGGTTTGCTCCTTCTTTCCTATCAAACATCTATTGTCCTTTTCTCCCCTTCTTCTTTTTTATGTTTGTTACTCTCTTGTAACACCTCTAATCTTCTGGCGCTCATGTGACCTTATGCAGTTGCGAGCACTGTAAAACCTCTACTAAAACTTTAAAAAATGTCTGTGTGTGCTCAGACTCACCCGCCGTCCAATCTGGACATCTGCCTGTGTGGACACGAGCCTTTCCTGGGAGCCGTCAGCCTCTCGGTGGGCATGGACTTTCTGGCTCTGCTGTCCAAGGTGGAAGATCCTTCTGGGTGAGTGGGCTCTCAGGGTTGTACTTTGTGTGTGTGTGTGTGGGTGTGTGTGGGGGAAGGG